CAGTTAAGACATAGAAGCTTGGCCAGATGCAGTGCCTCATGCCTGTAATCCCAGCACTTTGGGAGGCTGAGGTGGGCGGATCACCTGAGGTCAGGTGTTTGAGACCAGCCTGACCAACATGGTGAAACTCCGTCTCTATTCAAAACACAAAAATTAGCTGGGCGGGGAGGCATGTACCTGTAATCTCAGTTATTCAGGAGGCTGAGGCTGGAGAATGGCTTGAACCTGGGAGGTGGAGTTTGCAGCGAGCCGAGATCACGCCATTGCACTCCAGCCTGGGTGACAAAAGCGAAATTCCATTTCAAAAAAAAAAAAAAACCATAGAACATTTTCGTCACCCCAAAACATTCCCCTGTGCTCCTTAGTAATCCATCCTCTTCCTGGAATCCCAAACCCTGGCAACAACTGATGCGTTCTCTAAGCTGGGAGTTTTGACTTTCCCAGAATGCCATGGAATCACATGGTGTGCAGTGCTCGTGTCTGGCTTCTCTGACTCGGCGCGATGCTCCTGAGATCCGAGTTGCTGTCCATGTCAGTCAGCTGTTCCTCTTTGCTGCTGTGTAGCACTGCTGTTGTGTGGATGCACCACAGTTTGTTCATTCCTTCCTCTGATGATGGACATTGAGGTTGTTACCAGTTTTTAGCAATTAAGAAGAAAGCCACCTTGAACATTGGGTTCTGGTTTTCATGTGGATGCATGTCTCTATGCAATCCTGTTTTGATTAAAATGTGAACTCATCTACTACTGTGCGAGGCAATTTTTGGATGATTTGGGGTCTAAATGAAGATAATGCAGGTGCTTGCTGTGTTCTCCCTTTCTGAAGTCCGGGACTGCCATGGAATTTGTGTGGTTTCTTTGGGCAGGACGGCAGGTAATGCAGGAATTCTTTTGTCTATGCCCTGTTCCATCTCATATGCATGTGCCCTCCAGTGCCCAAAAGTTTGCAAACACTTAGAGCAGTGATGACATGTTTTGCTCTACTGACCCCAAATACACGCTTTCTCTCCCATTTCAGGACCCCGCTTGGCAGAGAAAAGAAAAGCACTAGGTTGCTGAATTCTAATGCTTTGCTTACAGGTATGAGAAATACAGTAAATGCTGGTTCTGACAAAACTCCACATACAATAAAATGAATGAACTGCCTAATGTTTTATCTGTCTTTCAGTTATTCCAATGGGATAGTTCCAAGAGGTTTTAAGATAAAATGTGAAGCCTCAAAACAGCTGGAGAAAGAAAGTCCCATAGTCATTTTCCCTAAAACAGAATATGGATAGAATTTTGGAAAATGTCTGCAAACTTCCCTTATGTATAGAATTTTGGGAAATGTGTACAACTATAGCTCCTTGCCGTTCATTAGTAATACCAGCTATTCTTCATATACCTGTCACATCCACGGTGAGTTCTTATCAGAACGATTCTTGGCCACATAGGAGAGAAGATGGCTTATTCAGATTTGAGCTTTATTCAGTAAATTGACCCCCACCCCCACCTACCACGCAACCTGGTACATTATTCCAACTTGATAGCTTAACTTGAACCATGCAAATTTGTCAATATTCTCCTATTTTTGCACCACCAAAACAACAATTCTGATTTAACTCAGAAGTTCCTGCAGTTCCCGTACACTTCTGTACCTTTGCACACATTTTTTTTGCCCAGGTAGAATGCTGCTTGAGTTTCAGGGTTGCTGTAACAAAGTTCCACAACTGTGTGGCTTAGAACAACAGAAATATTGTCAGGAGCTCTGGAGGCCGGAAGTCCAAAATCCCAGTGTTAGCAGGACTGGGCTCCCTCTGAAGGCGCTAGGAAGGATCTGTTCCACTTCTCCCTCCAGGCTTCTGGTACATTCTTGGCTTATGGCAGCACAACTCCAGTCTTCACATAGGACTCTCCCTGTGTGGGTGAGTGTGTCCAAATGGCCCCTTTCTATAAGATCACCAGTCATATTGGATTGGGGGCCCGTCCTACTCTAGCATGACCCCTCTCAATCAATTATATCTGCAAGGACCTGCTTCCAAATAAAGTCACATGCTGAGGTCTGGGGGTCAGAACATCAACACAGGAATTTGGGGGACCATCGCTTAAACTGTAACATATGCCTTCCTGCCCTTCCCCCAGGCCTTTCCCTTTGGGAATTGGCTTACCCCAGACAAACCTTACTTCCTATAGACAATTTTCCCTACGGCCTCTTCTCCCACCCACCACACACCGTGCCCCTCACCTGGTTGCCAATGACACTCTTATCCCATTGTATTAAGGTAGTCTCCCTGCCAGTGTGTCTCTCCCAGATGATTATGAGCTTCAAAGAGACAGAGAACATCTATTGTTCATCTTTGCATTGTCCTCCAAGCCCAGCAAGTAGAAAGTGCTCCAAAGAGCTCTGGATGACTTCATGAACAAAGAAATGAAAGAAGTGCACCACCAAAAGCCGCCCTGCAGCTGACCCAGGCATGGATCTGTACTTTGGATGTGTCTTGTTCATAGAAACTGTTGGTCAAGGTGCCTTCCTTTGCAGGAAGACATTAGTACAGATGAAATGGGAGAATTAAAATCGTGGGCGTGGTATTTGCCATGTCCTGTGCTCATTACTCCTCTCAACTATACAGTGCTGCGCTATCATCATCCACATTTTACAGGGGAGTCATCAGAGGCACAAAGCTAAGGGACACTGCTAAGGTCCAACAGCCTGTGCCCTCTCTGCTGTTTCACTTGAGTGGTTTGGAACAGCAGCCTCAGAGTCTTTCTCATTCCCCAAGGCTATCCCTAGAGCGTGCGTCCAGCTATTTTGTCCTGACACGTTCATGAAGCTGAGACACCACCTCTTACAGGAGCACAGCTGGCTGGGGAGCCTTCCCACTCCGAGCCTCTCACCCCCAGCTCCATCCTTACCTCCACACCTCACAGGGCTCCGGGTGACCCCGGCTGCTTTGTCTGGACTGTGGCGGCTCCACCCATTCCCTATTGTGACCTGGGCAGTCAGGCTGGGCTGTGAGCTAGCGGGTGTGGAGAGTGAAGCCCCGACCCCCCTGCCCCCGATGGGTTCTGGGGTAGTCGGAGGAATTACTTCTGCTGGGTCACTGGATTAGGGTCTATTTCAACCCACTATGACCTCATCTTAATTTAACTAATTGTATCTGCCAAGACTCTATTTCCAAATGAGGTCACATTCTGAGGTCCTGGGTGGACATGAATTTTGGGACGATACTATTCAGCCCAGTCCAGATCGTCTGTAAGATCTTTTAAGAACAGGTCCTCTGTAACCAAAGGGAGGCAATGAGGGACAGTGGTTAGGAGTGCAGACTCTGAAGTCAGATGACCCAGTCTCCCTCCTGACTCCCCTACTTGAACTGCCTGTGTGACCTCGGCAAGAGATGTCCCCCGTGCCTGTGCCTTTTCAGATTTCCTCATCTATAACAGGGGAATAGTAAGAGTTCCTACCTTTTTGGGCTGTTGCAAGAATTCAGTGAGGTAATGCACATGAACCACTGAGCGAATAGGTAATAGGAGATGCTATATAGACTGTTATCTTCATCACTGTCTTTCATTCCCATCCAGTTCTCAATAGCATACACACGGCTGCCACAAATACACAGAAGTTTGGGAATTAGCTCTGCAAGACCGGCCTATTTCAGATAAGAAAAATGAGGATCAGAGAAGCTGAAAGTCTTGCTGAGGACACCCCAGCAAAGTGAATTACAGGCCCAGAATTCTAACGAAGGCATCCCGCCTTCTGAGATTAGAACCGCCTTCTGTGTCCCAGCAAAAACCTACTCTAGTCATGCCCAGATCTGCCTGGTCTAAAAACCACAAAAATAGCAGGAGTTACCACTGAGTCAATGCTTGCCACATATAAAGACCTGGATTTAGCTGTTTCCTTCCATTCACAGAGCCGTCCTGCAGGAGAGATGTAACTTTTACCATCACTGTAAAAACTGAGCCTTAAACTGCTTAAGAAACTGTTCAGATTCATTCAACTGAATATTCACACTGGAGTTTGAATGAAGGTCTATGTGGCTTCAGAAATTTAAGATCCAAACCGTACCACTGTTGTACCTGACATCCTTCACGCAGCTCCCTCATCTTCAGAAAAACAATTATAATTCTTCATTTTGAAGCAAGGTTGTGTGACTTTCCAGTGACTTCCAGGCATTTGGTAAAGAACAGCTTTGTTCAAAGTAAGTTGATGAACACAGCAATTTCTTCATAACAGCAACTGGTTAAAAAAATAAAATAAACCCATATCCAGCTTTGCAAAGGGAGTTATTTGTTTTCATGTTTTGTATTTGGACTTGCAACACATCGAGGGGTGATATTTTTCAATGTTTTGTGTGTCACTTAACATTTTTGAAAATAAAGCCTTATAAGCTGTGAAACAATATGAAATCCTGATCCTATCTCTGTAAAATCTGATGGGTGCACATTGATAGACAAGGGTGTGGAAAGTTACACTGAAGGTGGCAATAGGAGTTGCCTCTGCATGGGTGGAATTAGAAGGATTGTTGACTTCATTTATTTATTTGAATACATGATAAAGGAAGTTCAAGCAGTAAGATGGCTGCAGAGCGAAGAGGAAGTTCACCTCTTACACTCGTTCTCAGTCCACTCGCCAAAGGCAGTTATGTGGATATGTATTCTTCCTGAAATATTCCTTTCATACACAATTGTGTATCAAATCGTGTATGGAAAAAAAAGTCTGCTCATCGTGTAGTGTGTGTTTACATATAAATGCACTTATTTATGTAGTTATGGGTATTCTTCATGGTCTTTTTCCATATCTGAGTTTTCCAGCTTTTTATCATTATACATTTCTTTTTATTTTCTTCAAGTTCTGGGATAAATGTGCAGGCTTGTTACATACGTATACATGTGCCATGGAGGTTTGCTGCACCCACCAACCTGTCATCTAGGTTTTAAGCCCAGCATGCATTAGGAATTTGTGTGAATGTTCTCCCTCCCCTTGGCCCCCACTCCCTCCCCAACAGGCCCTGGTGTGTGATGTAAACATATGGGATGCTTCACGAATTTGCATGTCATCTTTGCACAGGAGCCATGTTAATCTTCTCTATGTTATTTCAGGGTTAGGATATTGCCGAAGTGAGCACTATATATTAATTTTTAATAGAATTTTTTCAAAGGTCCGAAAGGTTTGGGGAAACCTGGAAAACCATGAGAGTTACCATATTCCTCAATTTTCACATTAATTACGTCTGCTCCGTTTATTTGTGCTATTTGGCAATCTTTTTCAGGATGTTTTAGGATCTGTAAGTTGTTTATAATTCAGTGTTTTGTGCCACAAGATAACATTTTGATACAATATTTGTAATTTTTGCATTGGCACAAGTCAGTTTGTATATCTACTGTATTCGTCCAGTGACCTATTATGAGGTGCAATGGATTTTTTGTTGGTGGTTTTTTTTTTTTTTGAGATGGAGTCTCACTCTGTCGCCTAGGCTAGAGTGCAGTGGTGCCATCTCCACTCACTGCAAGCTCCGCCTCCTGGGTTCACGCCATTCTCCTGCCTCAGCCACCCGTGTAGCTGGGACTACAGGCGCCCGCCACCGTGCCCAGCTAATTTTTGTATTTTTAGTAGAGACGGGGTTTCACCGTGTTAGCCAGGGTGGTCTCGATCTCCTGACCTCGTGATCCACCCGTCTCAGCCTCCCAAAGTGCTGAGATTACAGGCGTGAGCCACCGCGCCCGGCCTTGTTGGTGTTTTTTACTTTTTGTTATTGTGAACAATACAGAAAGAGAAAAATGGGTTGGCTGAAAATGGATTTGGCGTGAAAAGGCAGGGGGAAAATGTGAAGAATTTTGAAAAAAACATACAAAAGTGCTTAAAGGTAAAATAGATTATAAAACCAGCCCTTGTTGTATTAAAATTAATGCACGAGCTGGGCGTGGTGGCTCACGCCTGTAATCCCAGCACTTTGGGAGGCCGAGGTGGGTAGATCACTTGCAGTCAGGAGTTCAAGATCAGCCTGGCCAACATGGTGAAACTCCTTCTCTACCAAAAATACAAAAATTAGCCAGGCATGGTGGCATTTGCATGCAGTCCCAGCTAGTTGGGTGGCTGAGGCAGGAGAATCGCTTGAACCCAGGAGGCAGAGGTTGCAGTGAGCTGAGATTGCACCACTGCACCCCAGCCTGGGCGACAGAGTGAGACTCTGTCTCAAAAATAATAATAAAACTAATGTATAAGACTAGATGGTGATGATTGAGAGTCCTTGTTGACCAAATTGTTTGTTTTCTTTTCCAGCAGTCCCAGAGCATAGCCATATGGTTGGAGAGACTAATCAAAACTATTGTCCCAAAGGCTGTATCCCAGCCCTTTCAGAAGCCAAGGCAGGAAGATGGCTTGAGCCCAGAAGTTCAAAATTGCAGTGAGCTATAATTGCACCACTGCACTTCAGCCTGGGCAACAGAGCAAGACCCCAACTCTTAAAAAAAAAAAATCTGCCCATCAAAAGGTGCCGTAAGTGCTTTTTGCCTATGCCAGCGGGCTTCACCTCAGTAGGCTATAGGAGCAACTTGTTCCTGCCCCTTCCCCTCCCAAACAACCTTTCTTTCCTAGGGTGACAGTAGGGGGGCCTCTGGTTTGCCAGAAAAACAACCAAAGCACATGATACCAGCTGGGCATTATCGGCTGGAGTGTGGGCTGTGGCCAGAAGAACATGCCTGGAGTGTACACGGAGGTGTCCAATTACCTGCTTTGGATCGAGAGGAAGCCTGTGCTGGCAGGGAAGCCTTACAAGTACGAGCCAGACTCTGCGTACGTTTTGCTTCTCTCACCCTGGGCCATCCTGTTACTATATTTTGTGATGCTTCTATTATTCTGGTGATTAAACACCACGTTGTCTCAAAAGTCAAGCGTCCTTCTCAGTTTGTGCACTAAGGTATAGGGCAATTCCAGGTTGCAATGAGTGGCTCTCAGATGATGAGTTGTGCCTGAACCAATCATAGAACTATAGCAGCACTTAAAAGATAGCTAAGACCCAAACGTCACAGCCTATGGGTCACCTGGAACTCGGAAGAGTTGCCACTTTCAGCCTGAGTCCTCTCTAAGAGTTTGGAGGGAGTGCCTTTCCACCAGGGGGATCGCGCTGGGGACCTGGGAAGCAGGAAGCTTGTTCTTTCCTCCTTGCAAACAGGCATCCTTCCAAGGCAGCTTTTATCCTCCAAAAGGGTAGACGGCTCATGAGATAGGAAACATGTTGAACTCTTTCCCGCTTCATTGGTAGCTCATCCCGGAGACCTGCAGATTTGGTTTCCAGAAAGATCCTTGTCCTTCACCCTGCTTGCTCCCTCAGCCACCATCTGGTCCTGAGTCCCCAGTAAAAGTTGCTTTTGGCTCTCAGAGATTATGAGCAACAACTCTAAGATTCAGGATCAGAAGTCACTGAAGCAGAAATGTCCTAGCGTTGGGGTGGAAAAAAAACACACAGCTAGTGAGATGTAGCAATCAAGGTACCTTTGCTTGCAAGCATCAGGAGCTCCAACTGAAGCTTAAAAGGATGTCGGTGGTGCAGACTCGAAAGAAGAGCAGAAACCCTGGGAGCTGCCCCATAAACAGCAGTCTGACAGTCTGATGGACACCAACGGCATCTTTCAGGCCATCTGGACGAGAGGGTGGACTGTCCGTTCTTTATGCAATCATCCTTGAGCAGAAATTTTTCAGTCAGGCACGACATATAAAACGGCATTCTTTACTGAGGCAACTTGGCATATTTTTGAAGAGAGAGAATGAAAAAGCTACGGGGTATTTTTTAAAAATGAGAGCATTTTATATGAGTTTGCCTTAAGTGGAATTCCATGAGCTGTGAACAACAGCAACAAAAACACAGGAAAAGCATCAACCTTTGTGCATATGAATTTGAGAAGAAAGAAAAGATGATGTAAAGAGAGTTCCTTTAGCTTGGCCTTCATCAGCTTTCTCAGAACAGGAGAGCTTGTCCACCATCTGACTCTAGAAAGCATTTAGGTGAGGAAGCACCTAAATGCTTTAGCAAGAAGAATTAGTATATACCTGCAGTGCGTTTTGGTCTAAAGCTGCAGTGGCCACAAGAATTTTGGCAGTTGGGAAGCACAGAATGGTGGCTACACGCAGATGGGGTAGTGTCCCCAAGAAAGATAGATTTAAAAAGGATTTCCTCTTGTCTCTGAAATAAGAGCAGTGATGATTCCCTGGGCTTGAAGTTCAGAAGGCTGAGGCTAGGAGAGGCCACAGTCTTGTGTCTTCAGCTCAGGCCAGTAGGCAGATAGAAAAGCTGAAATGACCAGACCACTCTACCAAGCTCCTGTGAGAGGCGGTGTGTGTACATGTATGTGTACGTGTGTGCATGTACATGTACATGTGTATGTGTGCAGATGTACTATGTGCATGTATGCTTGTGGGTACTTGTGTGTGCGTGTATGCACTTGTGTGTGTACTGTGTGTTTGTGTGTGTACTTGTGTGTGCATGTATGTGTACGTGTGTGTGTGCATGTGTGTGTTTAGTGGGGGTGCTTCTCTGCCTCCATCACAAAATAGTTGTCAAACTTTCAGATTTTTGCTAATTCTATAAGAAGTGATAACTCAAAGTAGGTTTTTGAAAAAATTGAAATTTGCACAAAGAGAAATATTCTGATCTTAAGTATACAGTGTGAAGAGTTTTAAAAAATGGTTTTAATTTTTATTAAACCCATTTGACCAGTTATTTATTTCATGGTTAGTACATGCTGAATCCTAAGAAATTTTCACCTATTCCAATATTGATATTGTATTGTTTTCTTTTACAAGCTTTATTATTTTAGCTCTAACATTTAGGTCCATCATCCATCTTGAAATAATTTCTGTGTATGGTGTGATATGGGTCAGGATTCATTTGTTTCATATACACAGCCAATTGAATTGAAAAGGCCTTACTTTTCATTGGATTGCCTTGACATCTTGGTCTAAATCAGTTGGTCTAAATTAGTGTAAATATAGGTCTGTTTCTTGAGTTATGTCTTTTTTTTTTTTTGCTGACCTGGGTATTCTAGGACTGGATATCTGGTTTGGTTTTTATTTGGTATCTGACCTGGATGTCTTTGTTTCCACTTGGAAGTGGCATACAGATAGTCGGTAAAAATAGCTATTTAAGGCAAGCTTTTGGTAGCCCAAGTGGTTGCTGCTATTGGCCATTACAGTGGGAACAAGGAAGACAAGTGCTAGAGTAGGTAGTGAGGCAGACATGAGCAGAGCAGGAGAGGGCCCGATCCCTCAACGAGGAGGGCAGGTGACCGTCAGGTGATGGTCAACAGTTGTTAAGCTGTCTCGTTAAAACAATAATTGGTCACAGCTGGCACCAGGGAATGGCGGCCTCACAGTAGATAGAAAACACCTGAAGCTGGTGATCAGCAGCTTCCCAGTAAGATCTCGGGAGCTGGGTTAGTGGCCCAAGCATGTGCACTAAGAGGCAAAATGGCAGAGTTTAACTGGTATATGACCTTCCTCCAGAAACACCCGACTGATAAGGGAAAAATGCCTCAAGTGAACATGCACACAACTTTAGTCAACACACTGTGCATGCTCACCTCCCAAGTTCTGGCAGGCCACTGGGCATATGGAGAGCCCACCCCCAGGGAAGAATCAGGGAGAAAGATATGCAGACCCCTCAAGCCTGCCAACATATAAAACCCCAAGTCAAAGGTCAAACAGCACACTTGAATCTCTCTAGTTGCCTGCTTGGCCTCTTCCAAGTGTACTTTACTTCCTTTCTTTCCTGCTCTAAAACTTTTTGACAAGTTTTCACTACTGCTCAAAAACTTGCCTTAGTTTCTGCCTCTGCCTTATGCCCCTCAGTCAAATTCTTTCTTCTGAGGAGGCAAGAATTGAGGTTGCTGCAGACCCACATGGATTTGCTGTTGTTAACCCAAGAACTGTCAGCTAATTGTTTAGAATAGAGCTTAACTGAAGAAAATAGCAAGCTCAGGTTTATTTTATTTTATTTTTATTTTGGTGTAAGTCTCTTCTCTTGTAGCTGTAGAACCAGTGTAGCAAAAACTTGGGCCCAAAATTTAATCCTACTGATTGCATGAATACAATATAAATAGAATTCACAGCCTTTCTAGGTCTCCCATGTG